AAATCGTTCATCAACAACGTTATCGATCACGGCTTTGTCCTTCTTTGGCGGCATCGTGGATCGTCGGCTGGTCTCGTGATACCAACTGATGTAGAGGATGTAATCGAAAGGAAAATTACGAACACAAGAGCAGATTTCTTTCTCAGAATAATAATACGATGATGGCCATTAACTGTTCAGGAGTGTGGTTACATATATGAAGACCCCACTACTCCACAAACTCCTATTTATTTAAATAAATACTCCACTAAATAAAAATAACATAAATGAAAACTATAATAACTTAATAAACCGACAACTAATAAAGACCGGGAAAATAAATAAACTAGACTCGGAGACGGTCATATTTCTGCATGAACGCCAACGCGGCCTCGTCTCCATCATTATCCTTATCGAGCATAATTGAATTTCTTTTAGCTGCTCGAACTCGTCAAGCTCGATTTATGAGGTCGAGTTCGGCTCGAGTTGTTTAAATAGGAAAGTATAATTACAATAAACACATATGCTAATATATATATATATATATATGTATATAAGATATTTTTAGTAATTTAACATATATTTCGAACAGCTCGACAATGCAAAATACGGGCTCAAGCTCATCTCGAGTTCGTGCTCGAGCCGCTCAAGCTTGACTCGAGTTCGATCAAACTCGAGCTCTAGTCGAGCTTTGACTCAAACACTCGACTAGCGAGCGCTTTGTTTGTTTGCCGCCCTAGTCCCAATCACTGGAATACAAACTGAAGAAAGACTAAGAATAACCATCTCTCATAAAGATAAGCCAAATATTTCTTGAATATCATTCACAAATGAGAGGCAACATGGAAAATGATCATCATGTACATTGTGCACACCACTTCACAGCTGCCATACAAAAAAGCCAACAACAGAAGAGTACAAAGCAGACTACATTTTTTCAACTTACAAACTTCCTATTTCTTTCCCCGCAATTTTACACCAAGCGCCCTCTCCAGTTTAGAAATGATCTGCTGGTTGGGTATTGCCTTTCCAGATTCATATTCTTGTATTATCTGAGGCTTCTCGTTTATCATCTGCAAACACAAACCGCAACAAAAGAATTTAACTACAGAATCCTCTTGGGTTAAATTAAATATCATATGCATCTTTTTAGGAATATACAAGAAAATAAAAATCAAGTGAAAAATACCTTAGCAAGTTGAGCTTGTGTAAGTTTCTTATCCATTCGGGCCTGCATGATAGCTTTCTTCAACTCAGTCGGGACCTTTTCATCTGTGATGATGAATATGATGTTAGCAAAAGATAACAAAACCCATTTAACTCGAAAGCAACACCCACCAAACTAATGCAAGCCTGTTAAGACTGATATATACGAAACTTGAGAACTATCTATTTCAGCATTTCATAACGGGAATATGATAATCTTTTACCACTGATCGACCTATACAGTCCTGCGCAAGAAAGATCGAACTAAACGCACAACATAACCTCAATGATACAACAGAAACAACATGGGCTCTATACACCAAAACAAGTAGGGATATTGAAACTAGACGCGCAAGGGAAGGAAGAGCGTAATTTCAACTTACGAGCCAGATTCTCTGTGTCTTCATCAAGCTTCCTCGTGTTTAGTGTGGTGGTGCTTTTAGCAGCTTTGTTCGAGCCAGCATTAGCTGCAACACGTAAACTAGAACAGTTTTACAACTTTGAATTACAAACATACTAATGAAGTGAAAGTTTCAGCTCATCTCGATTCTCTGCACTGCACTAACTTCTGCAGACAGCAATAAAAACAGGGATCAATCTGAGCCAAGCTAAAGAAAACATACAAGATAAAACACAAAACCCATAACACAAAGTTTTATGCTGTCTCTACATAAATATCAATGGCTGTTCGGCACGACCATCATAGAGAAAATAGCCAGTCTAACTATGGCAATAGCATTAGGACAAATGCACTGAAGAATTACATAATTTTCCTAGAATAGCTACTATAATGGGTTTTGGCCGCACAAAATAAAATACAAGAAGGGTACATACATAATTCACGAACTCCATAGGATAGAAACTACAAAATGGGTTTTTCCCGCACAACACTTAATTGACTAACAATACGTGAATATGCTTGTCTGCAGTCGGAATCATGTGCACAAACAGCACCACAAGCAGAAAGNNNAAAAAAAAAAAAAAAAAAAAAAAAGAGGGGAAATTTAGATAAATGAAATTAACTTACCCTTTCTTATAGTTTCGATCTCGGCCCCTGCACGGCGGGCGGCGTTGACCGCTTTCTCGTCTTTCCGGGCGGCGGCAGTCGGCGGCTTCTTGCGGATCACCACCGGCTCCCAATCCTGAGCAATCATCCCCGCCATTTTCTCGTACCTCGCTAGTTTCTCCTCCGATTAAGAATCTACGGCGACCTGTGTGAGCTTTTTGTGCAGCCTGGGTTAATCAACAATGGCTGAAGTGACGTCTGAGCTTTAGCTTATATAGAGGGTCGTTTGCTTGCGCAGCAAGGGCAATCGAGAGGCTTCTACCGTCTTCTTCAGGAACATTTTTTTGGCAGCTGACTTTCCAGATTTACCCTTCATCATTTACTTGTGCCACGTCGGGCATCCGATATCCACGTCATTTCTGAATAGAAAGCGTGTACACGAGCTTGAGATAAAGTTTCGCATTTTAAAATGTGGCATTTCACCAGCATTTTGATAACAAAAACTTGTTCGTGTTCGATAAAAAATTAAAAACTCGTTCGCTTGTTAATCGAGTCGAGTTCGAACAGAAAATTAGGTTCATTTAATAATCGACGAACACGAGCTCGTTCGTGAACGTTCGATTATGTTTGCGAACATATACTTAATAATTTTATTTTATTTTCTATATATTTACATAATATTTTTAATAAATAATCTAAATTTAATATAATTTTATTTATTTTTAATATATTTACATAATATTTTTTTAAAAAATATAAAATATAAATATATTTTTATTTTATTCTTTTATTTTTTAGTTGAACGAGTAAATGAACAAATTTCGAGTTAATCAAACATATTTAAAAAGCTATATATTAAATTATTCGAACGCGAACGAAGTCGAACTTTAACGAACAATTAAACGAACAAACTCGAACACGATTTTTTGCTCGACAAAATAAACGAACGAACACGAACACTATTCGAACGTTAAACGAACACGAGCTCAAACAGCCCAAGCTTGGTTCAATTCGGTTCTTTCACAACACTACCTCGTACTGTCAGTCGTGTACTGTATAACAATATTAAAAAAATTATTATGATTACATACATCAAAACAAATAATATTAAAAATAATTTTATGGAAATAAATATCATGTTAATATTAAAATTAATTTTTCTAAATAACAAGTGTCATTCTAAAATATATAATAATAATATATTTTTTGTAAAAAATAAATAAAACTTAAAATAATTTTTCTCATTAATTTTAAGAAAAATGCTACAAATACATAATAAATCTCATATGGAGTGGGGTCCACTTAATTTTTGGTGGGTCTCACTCAATATGAGTGTTATGTATGGGTCCCACTAATTATGATTTATGAGTGTTATATACCAATATCTATTACTATATAAAGAGGTAACCTAAAAAATCCAATAATAGTAACTAAAAAATTATCTAAAATCCCGCCTAAATATATTACTAAATATAGTAAATTGTTTGAAAATTTTTGCAACTATACCGCCTATTTGAATTGCTTGAAATTTTTGAAAATTTGAAATTTTTGTCAGTATGCCAAATCTTCAATTGTTGTTTTAAAATTTTCAAAATATTTTGAACAAATCAATTTAAGGACGTTTTTTTTTTTAAAAAAATAAAAATAAAAATTAAACCAATCCACTTTAATATCTCTAAAGCATATCAATATCATTTTTATGGACAATCCCAACCAGCATGCTTATTAACTTTTAATATTGAATTAAATTCGCTTTAATATTTCAATACTTTATCGGTTTATATTATAAACTCTTAATAAATTTTTTTTGCATAAATAAAAAAACATATAATCCCATATTTCAAACCATAAACTCTCAATTAATTTTTTTTTTGCATAAATAAAAAACATATAATCCCATATTTCAAACCATTAAATACCCACGTTTTAATTTAGTTTAAATCATGATTAATCTATTACTATATAGTAAGAAGAA